GGAATTATTTTGCGTCAACTTAGTGCCAGGAGCTACCGATGTAAAAGGCCCTGAAGCACAGCAGAGGCTGAACCACACACAGGGCGATGCAAAAAAATCTCAAGAGCAACCAGAGGTCTGCATTTTATAACACAAAAGTTCTGTTTGAAAACAGATAATGTCCATACTACAAGTCTTATTCTTCATGTTAATCAGAAGTAATACATGTTTGGAAATACTACCTTAAAAGTTCAAACAAAACAGAAAAGGGACTGACAGACTGGATGGGGAGTTTGGTAACAACTGTGCCTGGGAACAGCAAAAACTGCAATAATAAGGATGATGAGGGAAGAATGAAGAATATGACTGCCATGAAAGGAAAGAAGGACTTTACTTTAGAAAGACTATTAGGGCACATATCTAAAATAATTGTTTAGCGACTTAGGATTAAGTATTCTCTTTATATTCAACCTTTTACAATCACTCCAGAATAGAGGACGTTCTGGAAAATATATTTTTTCTGTCACTTAGCATGTCTATTTATGATATTCCTCTACTCAAAAGCAGACTTACCTATTATATAGTAGAAATCAAGAAGTGTTAAAACTGAAAGCTTATCAATATTTTCTCCTACATTTCCTTTACTGTAAACAATTCATCTATATGAGATAAATACATACCTCTCCAACATACTCCATCACAAAACTGTTGGTTTTAATTTTCTGGAGGGTTTTTACTCCCCAACCACGGCCATTGTTAGTTCTGAAGATGCAAAGAGAATACGGTGTACCTTTTTGTACTATCCTATTAGGGCAGTCAGGCCCGCACCTACAAAACGAATTGCATTCATAGATGGGCAAGCCGGGCTGGATTTTCAACTTCTTTCGTTTATTGTAAGCCAAAATAAACCCAGCCTCCTTTGGACAGCACTTCTCAGCGGGGCAGTCAGTGCATTCACAGCCAGTTGTTATTCCATTTATTACATTTATTCCCGGAGCAGGTTTATACTCATTAATGTAGTAGAAGTCTAAAGGAGGGCCTTCAAGGTCCACAGTGTTTTCTACCAGAATCATTGCTTTATGATTCTTTTTCCTGTTGAGTTCTTCTTTCCATCTCTGCAGAGCTATCCTTTGCTTAGCCTTTTTTACAATGTAATCTGCAACCGCAGGTTTCAAAGCTTTAACATGGTTTCTCACTTTCAGTGCTTTGCCTTCTCTCACCCGAGACAAGTATTCATTCTTGTCGCTACGGAAGTTTTGAAGAAGCAATGGGCATTTCAGATTTTTCTGAGGTTCCCAAGTATTTGAAGATTCTGGCCATCCTTTCCATTTCACGAGATAGTATTCTGTGCCCTTGAAATACAGAAACAGATACAGATTTAGCCACATTTCATGTTGCTGAAATCCATCATCACAGAATACACAGACAAACACAAAAGACCTCTGGAGTTAAGAAACGGCATACAGTGCTGAAGGTCTTGGTGTCCCCATAATAATTAGAATTGGGGAGAAAGAAAAATATATTAAGTTTTCTGTTTGCAAATTAACATATAGCACAACTTTGGATACTTTACATATCATATCTAGGGGACAAAGAAATAAGCAGCTAGGATGAACTCTGATCACTAACGTTATACCTGAGGAGGCTAGTTTGTTAAGGCCGTTAAGAAAGTTATACTGACTAGTTGCATGACTCGTATGCACAAGCCGAATGTAGTCATATCACATACGGAACAAAAAAAAATAATTCTAAACTTACTGAAAAAAAAATCACTAAAAACCCCCACTATTTGTCGTACCAACCATCCTCCCAAAGAAGTAACCCATTCAAAGCACACAATATCGTATTTATAATCAAGAAGCATACATTTTGCACTTATTTTAAAAAGGCCAAATAACTGTAACTAGGCCAAATCCTGAGACTGAATTTCACTGGCACGATCAAGCCGTAGGAATCCAGTTGCAGCACATGGCCCTAACTCTTCATCAAACAGACTACAACAGTCAAGAGAGAAATATAGACTGTTACCTGCAAATAAAGGAGAAGCATCATAATACATACCAAGCTACTACCTAAAAGCATGAGCATTTTGCTTTACTTCTAGACAGGCACAGGTGAAACATTTCATATTCTAGCATCTCTGTAATTTCAGGAAAAGACCTTCCTTCAACATACTAAAAGCAGTAGTTATACTGCTTTCTGTTTACAGTTCAAAGTTTAAAAGATATTTCATTCGATGTCAGCAAGAGCTTTGTCCTCACAGCCTGCTACTTTATGTTGTGAGAAAAACTACCTTTGGCTCACTTCCAAATTTCAGCTGAAAGAGTGATCAAATTGGTCTGTGTTTCTCTTACCTCTTCTACCTTGTAGTCACACAAATATTCCACCTCATAACTCTTTAGATTCCTGTTGGTGATTCCAATGGATTTACATCTGAGATTTTCCTTCCTACATAATTCTTGGAGGGTCTCAAGTGAAGCTAGACATGGCACATACCAAGCTACAATAAGAAAATTGGTAAAGAATCCTATTTAATGTCTTGGCTAAATGGAAACCATTACGCCTTATCCCAGAGTCCCCACATTATCATTTTCAATAGCAGTCCACGAGTCTCTTGTACAACTACAGTGTCTCAGAGAGTCAAACTCAACCTTCCTCTCATGGGTTAAGGGAAACATGCCAACGATCCCCTTCCTGCACCTGAATTCTGTACAGTATGTACATTTATAAAGAACAACCAATATTTTGGAGGGCAGAGACTCCCACAGGTGAAGGCTGCACTAAGAACCGAATCGTTTTCCTACAATTAAAGCATCCCGTAACTGAACTACGGCGATAAGGAAACCTCCATTCTTTAACAAGACCGCCAAATTTTTGCACTTAGTCAAGTGGAATCGAGCCCTTGAGACGCAACCATGGTGACTGGACGAGGAAAGAAAAGTCCACGGCGCTCTTCCAGAAGGATCGCGGGTGCCTGGTCAGCTAGGCGGGTTTAAAGGGACGCGACACTCCGCGGAGCGGCACGGCAGGAGCGCCGGCTG